CTTTCCATCCCCTTCTCTTGTTGCCTTGGCTGCCTGTCTTAAATGTGAAGAAAATCGTCACCCTCAGTGTACAGAAGCTGGGAGCAAAAATGAATGTTTGTGACACACAGGGGGTCCTGGCAGGGGACTCTCCTGGGGAAGGGGTGGCTATGCCTTTGCAGAGGGCAGGAATGTGCTGAGTGTGGTGCTGGGACTGCAGGTGGTGGCACCAAGGGGTCCCAAAGGCTCTACTTGCAGCCAAGGTCCCAGTCCCATGTGCTGATCAATCCTTTGCTCTGAATCTGGGCTTTGCAGCTGCAGCTTGGGGTTTTATTGGTTATATATAATTATGAGAAATGTGATTATGAGTTTTGCAGTACACCCTCAGCTGGGATCCATGTGTCGCTCACCCTCTGTGCCCATTTCTGTGATGAATTTTCCAGGGCACCGTGGGAGATCTGCTCAGAATTGCTCAGGCAAGCAGCAGCTGGGCTGAAAAATGCAGAATCTGGGTGTAAATTGCTCTGTCCTGGTTTGCAAGTGCAGCAGCTCTGAAGTTCCCTGTTCAACAGAGCAGGGAGCAGCACAAGGTGCTGGGCATGAGCCCTCCTGGCTGGGCTGTGCTGGGTGGCTCTGGGTGAAGCTGTAGGTGACAGCTGTGCTGCCAGTGAGCCCTATCCCTAGAAACTCCTGAACCTCAAGTTCCCACCCTGATCCATCTCCAAACCCAGCTCAGGGAGCAGATGGCACTGGCTTAGTCTCCAGCTCGCATTCTTTTCTTTATTTTTCTCATCCATGGTGAACTTTGTTAGGCACTGAAGTCTTTAACCATTAGCAGGCAATAAAAAAGGGGCAGCAGAGTTGGATAACACCCAGTAATCCCCTTCAGGATGAGCTGGAGAGAAGAGCCACTGCAAAGCTCTGGAGCTTATTCTGGGATGAGTGCTTTGGAGGCTTTGAGAATTGCTTGGTGTTGGTATTTCATGAATAAATAACCCCCAGCGGTATTTGTCAGTGAATCCTCTTCATTAATGAGACCTGTAACAAAGGGGGAGGGTGGAGAAAAGTGGTTTGGAGGGAATCCAGCTGGTAGGAGGTGGAATGGGGCTGTGTGAGGATGGGTACCATGATCTGAACCATGTGAGCAGAGTCAGGATGGGAGCCCTGCTCTGCTGCACCACCCTGGACATTTGTGCCATGAAATGTTGATAGAAAATGGGGTTTAACTGATGCTGGGTGTGTGTTCAGAGGGTCCTGGCAGGGAGGGGAGTGTGTTTCATTTATAACTATATCATTTGGGTGTCAGCAGGTGTCTTTGGGAAGGCTGGAGAGTTAAAGAAAGAGTGTGTGTGTGTTCATGGGCTTGTGGGGAGGATCCGGCACCAGAAATTAGGTCTCTCTCTCCAAAATACCCTTTTTGAGAAGACCTGGCTTCGGGTCACTGGTGGATTGCCTCATCCTCCCAGTGCACCAGGTGCTGAGCCCTGCCTGCTCCCTGGGGTTTTGGCACCTGGGTCCAGCCAGGGCTACCAGCAGCTCCCCTGGGCTCTCTGATGTACTCAGGACACACAGCCTGTCCTTCTCCACCCTGCCCTGTCAGAACAGATCCAGGGCTCAGTCACTGAAATCCGACACAGAGACATGGAGAGAACAAGAGCTGTTCTTTTGCAGGCAGCTTCTAACTGCAGGGAAAGTGATTCATCCATCAGGGCTGGTCTAATCTGGCACCCGGGTGATGGTGGGGATGGCTGTCCCCAGTGGGGGCACATCCATCTGGTCATCCCTGCAGTGGTGGCCAGATGCTGCCATCTCTCCTCAAGTGTCCCCTGCCTTGTCTCACTGCGTTCTCTCCAGGGCTGGCTCTGGAATGTGAGAACTGGAGCCCCACACAGCAGGCAGGGAAGGACAGGCAGGGGTCACAGCCAGAGCTGTGAGGGTGGGAAGTCATCTGCTCCATGCCACGTGTCACTGCAGAAGGCAGGTAATTAATGACTGCTCTCCACTCCCAAAATTCAGTGAGCTGCTGAGGCTGGCAGTGCCAGGGGCTCGGCAGTGCCAGGGGCTCAGCAGCACCTGCCTGCACTGAGCTGGGCTCCTGCAGCCCCTCCAGAGCAGATGGAAGTGGAATTTGCTCCCAGCTGGCTCCGAGCAGCACACTCAGCCTCTCGTGAGCTGCCCTGGCCTGGCAGGGCTCTGTGCTGGAGGGAAGCTCCTCTAATGGAACGATGGCCAACACTGCACCGATCCTGCCGAGAGGCTGCCCTCGCCCTGCTCCTCTCACAGGTGACACTTGAACACTTCCCCGCAGCTCTGCTGCCCAACCTCCCAGCAAGGTTAATATTTTAATGTGCTTAATGGCTCATTCCAGCTCACCAGCCCTTCCTGGGCTTTGGCAGGGGTCATCCATTATGCCAGGCTTTGGAGAGTGAGTTTCCCGTTCCCATCCTCAGCCCTCCCGAGGGCAGCAGGTTGGTTTGTGCTTCCAAGTTTTAATTAAAATATGACAAGCTGCCCTTGCCAGCCCCAGCCTAGTGCCATGTGGGATGAGCTGATGTCTCCTGGCAGAATTCTGTTTCTCTGGAGCAATCCCGTGCAAGGACCCTGCCCCAGGATCTCCTTTCCACCACCCAAAGCAGCTGTAGCTCCTCATCTTCTCTTTCCAGGGATATGGGTTGTTTGGTGGCTCAATGGAAAAGCCAGAAGGGAGGATGGGAGCATGGTTCTCCTTCTGTCCACCCACGATGAGAAACCCCCTGGAAGGACCAGATGGGGCTCAGTTTTTGGGGTGGGTGGTGGAGGAGCTGTCACGGTTTGTTGGTTTTGGCTTTTTAAAAATAATTCTCCCTGTGTTAATAAACAGTGGTTTTAGTTAGTAAATAATATCCCCTTCCTCCCCCCCAATCTCTCCAGCAGAAATATGTGCCCTGATCTAACATATCCTGCCTTTCTCACTGCCTCATTTCAGAGGAGCTGCAGACCCTGGTGGGAACAGAGTGCTGATAGAAAACGGCCTCTAAAGATATTTGAAACATGACCAAGAAAGGACAGAGGGAGATTCGTATCCAAATTTGCTGGAAAATCTAGGAGGTGGGCCAAGAAAGGGAGAATATCAGGAGCTTGATTGCAATGAGTGCAAAGTTAATTGGGAAGCATTAATTGGGGTGAAAAAGGGCAGCACAGACATGAATTTGCTATGTGGGGCACCACAGTGAACACGGAGCTGCCCCAGTGCTGGGATAACTCATCCACCCCAGCCCATGGAGATATGCCAATTTATTGTTTCTCACTGCTTTAAATGTTTTTTTCCTTGTTTAAAGTCCCAGCTTTAGGAATCCTGTGATTCCCTTGAAATCCGGAATCTAAAAAAAAACGTGATTTCAATACTGCATAAGGCTTTATTTGGGTTCGGTCTCAGGAGTTTCTAGCCCTTGAGTTTGCAGGGAAAAGCTTGGTTATACCCTAAAGCAAATTTAGGGGAGGAAAATATTTAAAAAAAAAAACAACAAAAAAAAACACCAAAAAACCAAACAACACTAACCCCCTCCCAAAAAAAAACCCTAAACAAGCAAGCAAACAAAACAACAACAACAACAACAACAACAAGAAAAACAAACCAAAAAAAAACCAAAACAAACCCACCAGAAAACAACGCAGCAATTGGTTTATTTTTAAAATCTCATCATTTTGGTGCCAGTTGTGTTATATTCTCTTTTAATGCCTGACTCATGGTTTTGTTGAGAGCTCGGTGTTGGCAGGGCTGTGTGCATGAGTGTGACAGTGTGTGAGCTCAGGGGCCCTCTGCTGATAGAGAATGCAGGGCTGCTTCCAGGCAGCACTGCCGTGCCCCTCCAGGGCTGATGAATATTCCTGTACCGCTGTTTCATTGCCAAGCAGACTGTTTTCACATTAAACCCCCCAAAAAGGGGCACTAATGCTGGGCGTTGGGTCATTGTGCTGATGGGTGAGCAGGGAAGAGGCTCAAGGAGAATAAACCATGCTGTGACTCCCAGCACTGCCTCGGGGGTATTGAGGTCAGAAGGGTCAGGGTTAATTTGCAGTCTCCCATGTGTAAAGATCTAATAAACAACCTGTGGAGGTCGTGTCTGTCACTATCAGTGACTTGTTCTGTGACCTTTCTCTGATCACTTTGTCTCTCTCCTGACAGTAAGAGGGTGAGGGGTTCTGTTGCCCAGGATGGGTTGTGGGTATTGCTTAGCATATAAACTGTACTTTGAAGATGAAAAAAATATCGTGGAGATGCTTAAAGGTCTTGACAAGCATCTGTGATCCTTTTGCAGGAGCCCAGCAGAAGGCAAAGTGCCTGAATGCTTTGTCACAGGCGAAATCTGCTGCGTGTGCAGCTCTGAGAAGCAGGGCTGGGAGCTTCCCATGGCTTCACGTGGCCTTGGAATTACTCCTAGGTGCTCATGCTTCTTGCTTGAGGGGTGTCACAGCACAGCAATGCCTGGGGCTTTGCCCATCATGGGCTGGAGCAGAGCAGCAGAGCTGTGCCTGCATCCATCCCTGCATTATTTGTTCCACATCCCAGCAAGCACAAAGCCAAGTTTCATGTGTCTTCCCAGCTCTGGCAGTGTCCCCGGGGTGGATGTGGGTGATGATGATGGCAGGGTGTGGATGCCTGGGGAGGCTTGGCCCAGGTATGAAACATTCAGGAAGAGTTTTATAGCTTTGGATTTGCTGTTGTCTAGTGTAAGGTTAGATTCACACCCAGCTCCAGGATACTAATACAGCATCTCCTAGTTGCTAGTTTGCATCAAACTGGTGGATAGTATCTTTGAAACCCCATGACTGGTTGATTCTATGAAGGATGCCAGAGTTATGCAGCAAATTTATTGTATAGCCTAATCACAAAGCCCTCATTTCCTTGGGAAGCTTCCTTTGGCTCAGTATCTCTAATGAGAATGCAGGGATTTTGCCAGAGCAGCTCTCTGTGGATTTCCATGCCCATGCTGTGCTCTGCCAGCTCCCTGCCAGCCCTAACAGTGCCTTTTCTCTCCAAGGGAAGAAGCGATGCTGTCCACCTACTTCGAAACCATCAATGACTTGCTCTCCTCCTTCGGGCCCGTCCGGGACTGCTCCCGCAACAACGGCGGCTGCACCCGCAACTTCAAATGTGTTTCAGATCGCAAGGTGGACTCCACGGGCTGTGTGGTACGTGCTGGGGCTGTGGGGTGAGTGCTGGGGCTGTGGGGTGGGTGCTGGGGCTGTGGGGTGGGTGCTGGGACTATGGGGTA